GAAATCTGTTGTTTTCCCTTGCGATATTTTTCAGAGGTATGCACGTGTAGTTATCATGTTTTCTTTTCCGTATATGGTTATAGTGGGGTATTTTTTTGCAATCCGGATCGCCGCCGGTATGAAAAAAACGGATCTTGCGATATAAATTATAAGTTTGCTTCCATAACAATATTTTAAAAATATTTAACAGGTAAAATTAACATCATATTTAGATTCCACACATTTTTCTAATAAAATTTCATATATAATACTCCCTCCATTCCTAAATATAGAGTGTATAGTTTTTGACACGGAAATTAAAGAACGCACATGGAGGGAAAATTTCACAAGTTTTGACCGAGATTACACCTGACTAATTGACATGAGTAAATAGAGGATCTTGCCTGATATAAGGAAATGTAATCAAATTCCAAAAATGAATTATCCAAACGAGTGGTGCAACCCAATGCACCTTATATTTCGGATTTTTTCTCAAAAATCTATGCACCTTATATCAAGGAACGGAGGGAGTATGTTAAAATCGAAGTTACAGTTTAAAAGATACAGATAATTTAGAAAATCATTTGATTTGACTTAAATATATTCCAAAATAATATTTAAAAATACTTAATAGGTAAAAAATCTCATATTCATATTCTACATATTTTTCTAATCAAATTTCATATATAACATGTTCAAATCGGAGTTACGGTTTAAAAGATATGGATGATTTTAAAAAGTAATTGTTTGACTTAAATATGATCCGCGGATGAATTACCTAAAACATCAGGGGGTTCGAAAAATGTAAAATAACGGTTCGGTTGTGACTTAAATCCGGACGGCGGGTTGATTTCAAGAAAATACAGTGACTTTTGGGTAAAATACAAAAATAACACTTCGTTTTAACTTAAATCAGGACTGTGGGTTGAATTCTCTGAAATAGAGGAACTTTTTTGAAAAAATGCCATGACGGATGAAAGAAACCTAATTTGCTTTATTATTACGTAAAGATAAAGATGGGACCGTAATCTATAGGAGACTGGGAGGTTGGGGACGTTGACATGCCTGCGTATGATGGTGAGTCCATATGCGGGCATCAAAGCCCACACCAGGGCTGGAGATGCTGCCAGATCCAGGGCTGCACGGTGCAATTCTCAATCATGACATTTGGAACAAACATATAGATGGTGGCATTAAAATGAAATCCATCACGTTTTCAACGCATAATAGGAACATCGCCGCATGGCACCTCTGTTTTCTCACACAAACATCTGTCTTCTCACAAAAACAAGTGCCATATGGAAGGAAGCTGAAACCATGTAAACAATTTAAACATCAAGTTGCTGTGCTCTACCAGGATTCATGAAACTGGCAACGTTTCGTCTCAACAAAGGTCACAAACTAATGTAAGCACACCCACACACATACTCATCAACCCAGCAGTCAAATTTCTGTGTACATTCGGGCCTACATATGCTACTGCTGTTGTACAGAGATAATTCATGTGCAGATGGATGGCCTACGTTAACTACAGAAGTCAATTTGTCAACTACAGATGTCAGTCAATGACAACCCCCTACTACCCCTCCCTCTTGTTTCATCATCCACCAGATGTAGCTACTTGTTCTCTGTTACAAGACTAAACTAATGACTGCAGAGATGACAACGTACAGAGCTGATTTCACAAAATCTGCCCTCGGATAACTTAATCAGTGGATGAATTCACCCATGCCGCCACGTCATCTGAGTGGCATCAGCTCAAGGGGTCAAACCTTCTGGCTGGAAGCTCAAATCACACTGCAAGGGCTCGGTGCGCACCATTTTATAACCTCCGCTCGTCCGTGCCCCCATTGGCTGTGTGATGAGATGGTAACACTGGCCAGCCCCGCTTGCTGCAATCTGCTTTTCGAACGCCGGGCAAGAAACCATGTTCCCTGGCCATGGAGGAAGGAGCCACTTCGATAGGCTGCTGCTATCCACCAACAGGCCCTTGTACTACAACATCCTGACTCCGTTGCTTCTTTTTGGAGGAGCCACGGCGAGTATAAACAAGTCTCTTTGGAGGGTGTTGTTTCTGCGACACAGCTTGGTCAGATGTGATAGCAGGCTCCTTTTTAGCTGTTTCCGCATGCTGCAACGTCATATAGTTCAAATATCAGCAAATGAGGGGATGTAACAGAATATAAATCAACAGCAGAAAAAAAAATACTGAACCTTTTTATCTGCTGACTTTGTTTCTCCATCTTCTGATATCTGCA